CCTCTCTCTCTCTCTCTCTCTCTCTCCTCTCTCTCTTACCCGTTTCCCATATCATATATTTTATTTTTATTAATTGATTTTATTTATTTATTTAAAAAAAAAAAAAAATCAGGCGAGATGGGGAAAAAAAAGAAAAGCATCAAAAGCTGTTGCCAACTGAAATTTAAAAAAAAAAAAAAAAAGTTTCGTACCGCAAAATTTTCTTTTTCGATTCGTGGCATTAGAAAGTTTTTCTTTACACTCACACATCAATTTTTTTTTTTTAAAGTTATTTCTTTCGACCTTTTGAACCTTTCGTGATTTTTTCATTTTTTTTTTTTTTTAAAGAAATAAAGATAGAGAAGGAGAGAGAGAGAGAGAGAAAGAGAGAGAAAGAAAGACGTTATTACGTTTTCCATTTAGTGGCAACAGCTGGTTTCGTTTCTATTGTTTTGCCAGATCAATTCTCAGTTTTTTTTTTTTTTGCTTCTTCTTCTTCTTTTTATTCTGCTCCTGATGCTGATGTTGCTGCTGTTGCTGTTGTTGTTACTTTTCCTTAAAAGCATTTTTTTTCTTCTCTTCTCTTATTTTTTCAATAACTTTTTAATTTTTTCTTCTTTTTTTTTTTCATTTTTCCACGATGTGAATGATGTTGATGATGATGATGTTTTCATTTAAAAATTTTTTTATTTTTTAAAAAAATGAAAAACGCGCAATTATTATCATCATTCATTTTCTTTTTTATTTTTAATTATAATAATAATAATTATTTTTAATATTTAAGTGAGACACGTTTAAATTTAAATTATTGTTATCTTTCTTTCTCTTTCTCTCTCTCTTATTCGTGTTTTCGAAAAACAATTAATTATAATTTATATTTACATTGAAATTCTCGTTATTATAAATAAATATTAAAATTGTTGACTTTTAAAATTGAAAAATCTATTTTAATATTAAAAAACTTGAGATTCTTTTTTTTTTTTTTTTTATTTGCAAAGTGAAACAAAGAAAATTCAACGTCTTCGTCTTATTTTTTTTTTTAATTGTATGTATTCTTATTATTATTATTATTATTTTTTGTTTCGATTGTATTTTATAAAAACGCATAATTTATTTGTTTAATTTTTTTCTCCCTCCTCCTCTCTCCCTCCTCTCCATGTAATTAATAATAATAATAAAAAAATGGAAACAAATTAGTGGTTGTCAATGATTTCGAGATTTCTACACCTAAATAATAATAATAAAAATTTAATTTTAATATTTTATAATTTTTTTTTCAATATTCGACTTAAGAAAATATTTATTAATATTATTATTATTATTATTTGTGGAAATGGATTTACGTGTTGATATAAATAAAATACGAAACGTTTAAAAAAAAAAAAAATATTTATAATTATGCATTTGATAAGACTTTTAAGCGTGACAAACCCTAAAAATCAGGAGTAATTAATCAGGAAATTTTTTTTTTTTTTTTTAACGTACGTGACGTATGAATTCGTCGTCGTGACATTCTATACGTATAATGGGTAAAAAAGGTTAAAAAAAAAAAAAATTTTCGAAAACTTTTTGTGTTTGTTGTTTCTAACGAGGTAAAAAAGAAAAAAAGTAAATTAAAGTCAAATATATTGGATATAATTTAAATTAAATTATATCGTGACAAAGTAGATTTACTGAGTATATATATATATATAAAACTAAGTAAAAGTTTTTGCTGCGGTTAAAAAAAAAACCCGAACCGACCTCCCGACCTCCCGTTGGGTTGTTTTTTTCCTTTTTAAACTCTTTTAATCCACGTTTCCTAGTGGTAAATAAACGTAGGACAAAAAGGAAAAGAAAGGAAAGGAAAGGAAAGTAAAGAAAAAAGAAAAAGGGATTCCCCACTTTTGGAATAAAAGATTAGTGAACAATTATTTAAATTCTATTTAAATAAAAATGGCAACACTGTTGATTACGGTCACACACTATTGATGTTTTTTAAGCTTAAAGAAAAATTAATGTCACGTGATTTGGGTGGTGGTGGTAGTGGTAGTGGTAGTAGTGCTACCATTTTCCGGAAACGGAAACATATAAAATCTCGAAAGGAAATTATGAGTTTCTCTCTCTCTCTCTCTCTCTCTCTCGTTAATATGATAAATATGTGAGGTGGGTGAGTCATTTATATTTCCCCATTTGATATTTTTTACTTAGTATTTTCTAAAAAAAAAAAAAACCGAACGAAAAATAATTAAGAGAGAGAGAGATAGAAAGAGAGAGAGGGGGGGAGGGGGGATGAAAGAAAAATGGATGCTGATTCTACTACTACTACTGTTGTTTTGAAGGGAAAACTTTTTTCTTTTTTTTAATTAAGTCAATAACACAATTTTCGAATAAAAGTAAACGAAAGAAAGAAAGAAAGAAAGAAAAAAAGTTAGCTTAAGAAAAAAAAAAAGAAGAAAATTCTTTTGTCTTCTTTCTCTCTCTCTCTCTCTTTCTCTTTCTTTTTTTTTTTTTTTGAAAAATTCCGCCCATTTTGATTTTAAACTTCCTTTTTCTTTTCTTTTATTTTATTTCATTTCTTATTCAAACTCGAATTTTCTCCCGTTTCTCTTTCTCTTCCCCACTCTCCCTCTCTTTCTCTTTCTTTCTCTCTCTTTTCTTTTTTATTTCCTTTGGAGAAAAAGGAAAAAAAACACTTTAATGCCTGAATTTTGAAAATGAAAATGAGTATTATTTAAATTTTATATAAACCCAATTCAAAAATTCAAATGAAACTTTTTGACTTTTCAATTCATCCCAACGCCGACAAGTTTAAATATACAAACTTTACCATTGAATAAAACAAAAAAAAAAAAACTTTCGATTTTCACAGACGCCATTTTTTTCCCCTTTTCTTTATCGTTATAATAATAATAATAATAATAATAATAATAATAATAATTTTTATTTATTTGTTTGTTTGTTTGTTTGTCGTTTAAAGAAGCGTTAAAAAAAATATCGAAAAATTATTAAAACCCGCAACGCAAAAAACCACCGCAATGGGGTTAACCTTATTATAACCGCACCTAAATTTTTTATCATCATCATCATCATCATCAACATCACTATCATCATCATCATTATTATTTTCATCAATTACAGGGTTGGATTTTAAATTTCCCGATACGTTTTCTTTCCTTTTTATATTTTTCTTTCGTTTATATTTTTTTTTATTGTTACTCTTTCGAAATGTCTGCTGAGGTCAAAAGGTTGTTTATAATAATAATAATAATAATAATAATCATGTTGAAATGTTAAAAAATTTCGTTTAGTTCGAGTTTGAAAGTGTTTACGGATACCACTCGCAAGTTGTTTTGTGTAACCAGGGTTTTTTCGCGTAACTAGTTATGTTTTGCTTCATTAGACAAAAATGTTCAGAATTTTCTGAAGAAGAATATGTCGGGTAGTTACAGACAAGTTCGAACAGAGAAGCAAAACAGTAAATATTCGTACGTGACCTTGAAAAGTTAAAGGTACCATTAACAATGGTAACGCGTGTGGAACGCTCGGGATCGATTTCTTCTAAATTCTAATTCCGGTTTTAAATGCCCAAGCAAAATTTCATATCGTGGATTATAGCAATAATAATAATAATAATAATAATAATAATAAACGATGACGTAATACGTAAAAAAAAATTTATATATATATAAATCGTTAGAAATAATTTTTATGAGTAAACGACACGAAAAGTCATGCTACGACTTTGTGAGCAAAAAAAAAAAAAAAACAATTTTTTCCTGACTAATTTTATTATTATTATTATTATTATTTTTTATACGTATATAATAATAAATATTAAACTACGCGCGTTTTTCATCGACGATGACGACAAAAAAAATTTATAATAACGCGTGCGTTTTTATTTAAAAAAAAAAAAGCAGTAAAAGGTTTAATGAGTGATAGCATAATGTTTAAGATCATTAAAATGCGTTTACGCGAACCGATAATTTTTTTTTTGGAAAATTACCCCCGGGTTTAATGATAATGATAATGATACTGATAATAAAAGGGATATCGATCAATCGGTCAAAACGACAAAATCATCCGTGTCATCATATAATAATTAAAAAAAAATTTATATTCGCGGCGTTAACCTTAATGTCGTCGTCGACGTCGTCATCGTCGCGACACACGATTTATCATTTTCCGGAAAGAAAAAAAAATTTTTTTTTTAAATCGTCACGTTGCGTCATTTTGCTGTTGTTCCTCCTCTGTTGTCGTTATTGTTTGTATAATTTTATCGATTTTGATAATATTTTATAAATAAATGAATGATGTTTTCCCCCTCCTCTCCCTCTCTTCCCCTCTTTTTTCCCATTAATTTTAACTTTGTATTTTCCCTACTGTTGTATTTGTATATATATATATTCATTCCTTTTTCTATTATTTATGATATGTCTCGAAATAAGGAAACACGCAACAATAATAAATTTAAGATGAACTCAAATTAACCCTTTTCAATAACCTTTTGATAATTTATTATATTAAATGAAATATAATTTAATATTTATCATATTTAATTGTCGTAGAAAGTTTTAGAAAAATTTTGAACGGAAAAAAAAAATTTTTGTTTTCCCCCCCTCTCTCTCTGTTTCCTTATTGAAAATCGTTATTTTTTTTTATTAATTTTAGATCACGTCCAGGAACCACCGGTACATTATGCAACATACATCCCACAATCACAATACAACGAAGATTCTTCCAGGAAAACGTACACGAATCTCCAGAACAACGTAATAAGCCAACGTCCTCCCGTTGTCGTATCTACCACTACGCCTACGACTTTGCCTTCACCCGTTCAAAAATGGCCGGAAAAACGTTATCAAGTACTTACATCCCTCGAAAATAAAAGTGATATTATACAGGATGTATCCGGTCAAAAACTCGTGTTAGTTACTCCGTCTCAACAACAACACGAAAAACCGGAGGGTGGTGGTATAGTACAAGAATCACAAATTCCAAAAGAAATCCAACCGAAAATTGTTAAAAAATCATTATCAATGTGTTATACGAGCACGGGGGCTGCTTTGTCTTTGCCCCCAAAGAAAAAAGATATATACAGGCCTTATTCGTTAGATGATCGGCCGACAATTGTTAAACCTAAACCCAGAATTGTTATACCCAATAATTCGGAAGAAGTTAAACCGAAAGAACAACAACCTTTACCCGTACCCGTAAGACGATTCGAACCCGATAATCCCGTTAATATTAATTCTAGTCAGATAGTCGATATAAGGGATGCATTACCCGTTGAGGCTCCCATTTTGGATGCTCAATTGTTAGAACAAACAACTGAGTATCCAACGCGTGAACCCATATGTAAAAGAGTCGATCAAGAAAATTTTTACGAAGATAGATCACAAAAAGATGGTTATAACGAACAACAAGAAGAGCAGCAGCATATCTTTGTCCGGGAAGAATATTATCATCAGGGAGGAGAGGATAGAAATTATAGATACGATGAAAGATCATTCGAAAGATATTCAAGACCGGCCGAGGATATATCAGCGGCTCATGCAATTTTAGACCTGAGTGCCTCAACAAGTGTATTTCCAACATCCGTCCAAGAAACAAATCAAAACAACAACAACAACAATAACAACAGCAACAGCATGCAACCGGTACAAAATAATTCCGAAAGAATGTTTAAAGTTTCAACGCCGGTCAATAAAACCGTTGCCTACACGTACGAAGCATTTTTCGTTAGCGATGGTCGTTCTAAAAAAAAATCAACAACAACGGGTCCTGCTGCTGCTACCATGTCGGACGTACCCCCGCAAGAAATAACAGAAAACAAGACTAAATACACGTGCACGGAATGTGGAAAACAGTATGCAACAAGTTCAAATTTATCACGTCACAAACAAACTCACAGGAGTTTGGATTCACAATCGGCTAAAAAATGCATGACGTGCGGTAAAGCGTATGTCAGCATGCCGGCTTTGGCCATGCACTTGCTAACACATAAACTATCACACGGATGCGGAGTCTGCGGAAAACTCTTTTCTAGACCTTGGCTCCTACAAGGTCATTTAAGATCACACACGGGAGAAAAGCCATACGGATGCGCACACTGCGGAAAAGCGTTCGCCGATCGGAGCAATCTTCGAGCACACATGCAAACCCATTCGATAGATAAAAATTACGTTTGCACGAGATGCAACAAATCCTTTGCATTGAAATCATATTTAAACAAACACTTGGAATCCGCTTGTTTTAAAGATGTTTCGATAAAAGAAGGTGAAACGTCATCGGGGATTGATGTATCACCTTTGACCCCACCGCAGTCGCCTTCTCCTATATATAATTATTCCCTTTAACCGCGATAAAACATGATCCGACGATATTCATCTGAGAATTTTTATCAAAATTTTTTTTTCTTTTTAAACGTTTGTCGTTTGTCTTCCAGTAAAGCAATAAAAAATCAAAGCAATATTACCCCCCCCCCCTTACCTCCGCCCCTTCCCACATTATAGTATGCCTATATATGTATAATATAAATTTCATTTTTACGCGCCTACGTTTATATATAAAAGCAATATTAATGATAATACCAAACGCTAAGCTAAATTTTGTGATAATAATAATAATAATGACGTCGCAACCGTCGTCGCGTTTTTTTTTTTTTTTTTTTTTTTTTTTTTTAACGTGCTTTTATTTTTCTCCATTAAAAAAAAAAAAAAAAAATTATTATTCGAGAACTTTCTAATCGATTCTAGTCAACGAAAAACAAAAAAAAAACCGAGTCAAAATATTTTACCACATGCTAGTCACACTCATATATAATAATATTAGGCATCGTAAAATATAATAATAATAATAATAATTTAGAAATAATAATAATAATAATAATAATAAACAGAAGAAAGCTTTAAAGTATACGGTAAAAAAAAAAATTGATAAAAAATTCTCAGGTGCGTTGTTAATTAAAAAAAAAAAACAGCAATAATTAAGATGGCAAAAAAAAATTAATAATAATAATAATAACAACAAACAACACGTGACCTAAAACAAACACATACAAACAAACATTAACACACACAAACGCGCAAATATATATAATAATAAGGAAAAAGTAAAATAAAAAAAAAATTAGAACGTGTCTTTTTTTAAAAAAAATTCCCCCTCCCCCCTCGAAAAAAAAAAAATTTTATTATTAGGTAATAAAATTTAATAATAATAATAATAATAATACATACGTAAAAAAAAAGAAGAAGAAATTTATGTTATCATATAGTTTATGATGATAACATAAATGATTTCATTTAACGACTTTAAGTCAATAAATATATATAATTACAGTATATATATATACTAACGTGTAAAATATGTAATATTAAAATGCTTATTATTATTATTATTATTAATAACTTTATTAGAAATATCACACATACGTCCAGTCATGATGATTATATTATTTATTTATTTATTTAAGTCCGCCATTTTTTTTTTTTGTTCGTTCGTTTGTTTGTAAAAGTCTGATGAATGATTACGTATATATGTTGGTGTATGTGATGGTGGTGGTGGTGGTGGTGTCGGTGAGATTGGCGGCGTTGTGAATAGTTAATAATTTATTTATTTATTTATTTATTAATAATATAATATATATATTTATTATTATTATGTATAAATACGATAAGTAAGCTAGCTAACCGCGATGTAAAAAAAAAAAAATTACTTAAAAAGCGGAAGCTAAAACGTTTCAAAAACAACGAAATCAAGTAATAAATAGTTACTAATAATAATAATAATAATAATAATAATAGTTATAATAATATAAATAATAATAATTTATAATGATAACGATAACGATTGATTAAACGAATCTAGTCTATTATTTGATAGTTAGTGTTATATAGTCAGTATTATTATATATTATATATATATATATTGTATTTGATTAGTGATATTAAATTATGTTAATTATTATTATTATTATTAAAGTAAATGAACTCTCCCCCTACCCCCCTGCCCCCCCAAACGTGAGCAATTATTGGTTCGAATGTGATTTAAATTGGGTATAAAAATTTATATTTTTAAGTAAGTGATTGATTGAATGAATGAATGATTGATTGATTGATTGAATGGAAATTTATGAAATTTTTTTTTCAATAAACAAACTAAACGCACGTGATAATACAAACGCTACTAAAACCACGACTTTTTTTTTAAGGGATTACGGTAGTAATAATAATGATTGATAAATTTACCTAGGCCGCCATTTTTTTTTAAAATTAAATTTAAAAACTAACGTTTGAAAATTTTTCAACGTGGAAATAGATAAAAATTGACGTGGAATTTGGAAAGGTTTTTAAATCGGTATTCAAAATGTAGGAAAAAATTAAATAATTATTCTAATACACCTAGCTAGACATTAATATTATTATCATTATTTTTTGAAATTATTTAAAAAAATCGATGCAAAGCTTTTAACTAGTTCCTATTAAAATGATGACGTCATTAAAATCAATATAATAATAAATGACGTATAGTAGGAAGGTAAATAAAATAATTTTTTTTTTTTTTTTGTAGTTGTGGTGCATTTGTATGTAAAAACGATAGTTATAATAGTTATTAAACTATATTAGTAGTTATTTTTTATTATTATCATTATTATTTTTCGAAGAGTAATAAATAAATAAATGAATAAAAATTTATTAATTTATTTTTAATAATTGTAAATAAATAGTTATTAAATTTTGAGTCAGCAACGAAACGATCTCACATTGTTTTTATTTATTTATGTTTTTTTTAAGATTACGAATACGTACGAATGTGACGAAAAAAAAAAAAAAACCTGAAAAAAAATACTCCGAGTTAATTTTTTTTCTTTTTTTAAAAGAATAAATGTTTTATCGATTGATTGATTGATTTTAATGAATGCGAACGATTTAAAAAAAAAAAAAGTTGCGTTCTAAAGTCTGCGTGACAGATAATAAATAATTACACGCATTTTTTTTTCTTACACTTTGCTATAAATTCACTTTGATAAATTACTATTACTATTATTATTATTATTACTATTATTATTAATATTATTATTATTATTATTATTATTTAAAAAATTAGTTTTTATATAACGAATAAAATTTTCTTTTTTAAACAACGTAAAAAACTAAAAAAATTTATTTCCGATAGAAAAACGAAGTTTTACGAGGTTTATTTATTTATTTTTGTTTTGGAATTTAAAAATTTTTTTAATTTCACACGGTTACCAACCTTCGAGTCAAAAAAAAAAAAACAAATATAACAAATAACAAAACGTCATTTCATCAACGTCAGTCACTTTAACACATCTGTAAAATAATATAACTCGAACGTTTAGATTTCACTCTTCCTTTTTCTCTCTCTCTCTTTCTCTTTTTTATTAAAAACTATTTGAAAAAGTTATTAAAATTTCTACACGGATTTATTCGTAGTTTTCGTTATTATTATTATTATTATTATTAATATTAAAATTTATTTAAATAAATAAAATAAATAAAAATTATTCTAAAAGGGGGTTGAGAAAAAAAAAAAAAAACAACATGAGGCAAAAAATATCAAAATTTTATTTTTATTCCTTTTCCTTCTCTCCCCTTCCCCTCCCTCCATTTTATCCCTCCCCTCATTATAATCTTTCCTTTCCTTTCCTTTTTTACTACGGTTCGTATAATAATAAATTTACAAATAAAAAAAAAAAAATTCAGAAAAGGTAACAACATGATGAAGAAGAGAGAAAACAAATCCCAACGCGTATTAAATCGTTAATGAATTTTTTTTTTTTTTAAATTATCATCATTATTATTATTATTATTATTTTTCCTTTTAAACCTCTTCCCCTTTCCCATCACCCACTTCCTGTTTCCATCCGAGTTTCCTTTTATTCATCAGAGATTTATAATTGAAAAAAAAATTTTTTTTGCGAGTGTTAAAAATAAAAATTAAGTAAATTTATATTAAAAAAAAAAAGGAAAAGAAAAATTCAATTTAATGTTAAAGTAAAGGGTAAAGTTGAAAGGTCAAATGACGTCAGTAAAACTCGTTACACGTATAATTTATCGTCTTGAGTGTGTGTGTGTGTGTGTGTGTGTGTGTTTTTAAACGTACAAGTATTAAATTTTCTTTTTTGTGCAAAAAAAAAAAAGTTTTTTTGTCGTCCGCGTTGTCTTTGATAAGAACAGAAAATTATCGGTCAGGTACGATTCGGTTACACGAATAAATAAAAAGCGAAGGAGGGAGGTAGAGAGGAAGGGAGGTAGAGAGGAAGGGAGGTAGAGAGGAAGGGAGGTAGAGAGGAAGGGAGG